GACCATGTCCATCCCTTTATGACCACAAAACCGTTACTAGCGTGGTATACCTAATAAAGTGGTCGGTGAGTGTATATATCTGGATTCCGATCACTGGATTCTACAGATTGGCTTGGTGGTCTCCTGGTGTTCTACAAAACAGTGTCGGTGGCTTTTTATTTCCTGGCTGACTGACCAATTTGATGGATGGCCATACTATCAGCACTCGGGACATTTTTCGTTGAGCAAGCTGGACTCGGTCTGCAAGCGGTTCTATTGAGGGTCGCGGGCCGACTGTGGTCCCTGGGCTTTGCTGGCCAGATGGGATTGATCTTGAAGAAGCTGATAGTACGGCTGGGCGGGATTGCTCACATTATTTGCCTGATTGGATTCACCATCTTGAGATGCACCAGCAGACATTGAAGAAGATGGAAATTTGTCATCGTCTGCCTGTCTCTTTCTGTTCCCAAAACAACTGATTACAGATTCGGCTCTCCCCTACATGGCCTTGAGCTGTTAACTATATTCTTCCTGGCTGGATCACGTAGACAAGGCTCTGCCCAACACCTACCCCCCTCCTCTCTCACCCGTCTGATCTGGTTCCTGGAGTAGACTGAGGGCCACACAGAATGAACAGTTTCCATCAATATTCTGAACTGTGGCTTGTTTAGGGGAGTGGATTCTTCGGGGCCCCTAAACTCACTTACACCTCTGGCTAATAAATCTGCTCTATGCAGAGGTTTTTTTTTTCTATAAACACTATAGTGTGTCACCGTGTTGATATAATATGATGTTTTTGTTGTTTTTCCTAAACTTCCTTTGTGTGGTTTTTGGTTTTTCTGTTGTTTCTTTAAAATGTGGGATGCACATATACAAACTGCTTTGGATGTAAAAACCTTCAAATTAATGCTGAAAATCTGCAGTTAAAGCATATCTTGTTCATTTCAAATCCATCCTGGTGGTCTTCACAGCCAAAAAGTTTTGTAATTGTTTCGATGTCCCTATTTTTATGGACCTATCTGTAGGTAATGTATTTACCAAACTCAAGATGGTTAAAAACTTCCAAAAATGAAAAAATAAAAAAATGACAACAATAAAGTCATAATTTTAACTGGAGCATAAAACACTTTTAAAAAGTTGTGCATAAACTTGTTTTAAAGA